CCGCCCGCGTGTCCCTGGGCGTCTTCGCCGCCCTCCTGCGTCTCGCCCTAGCGGCCGTTGGTGGTATTACAGTGATGGAGTTGGGTTTAATCGAAGTTGGTGAACCACCGATTGACCGTAATATCTGGAAATACAGATAACATGATTTAAAAACATGGATTGAGCGAGCCCTCTTGATTACTACTTCTGGGATATGGTAAAGGCACAGGTTTATTGAGTGCCAGACATAAATCACTTAAGACTGAAGCATGTTCTTGGTGAGAGTCCTCGGTCATTTTTTCTACATGGCGCTCTAATTTTGGACATTCTGATGTCACCAAGATTTTTAATTTTTCAATCCTCAATTATTGGCTGGAAATAAATGAAGTAATGAAACTTAATGCCAACATTTTAATAACTCATAAGTTATAATCTGTTTTCTATTAAGCACGTGCAAATGCAAAGCCAGAGATAAGTAATAAAGACGATTTAAGGTCTGTCGGAGACTAAATGTTTGGTGCAGTAGCCATATGTCATGTATATTCCGAAGCACTGTCCTGCTCACCATTTTCTGCACTGATATTCTTCAAAGATGAAAAGCTGGTATCATCTGTTTACCCTGGTAATGGCCAGAGCACTGGGTCCATGTGCCAGTGAAAACTCTCACCTTGGGGTGCTGCCACGATTTCCGAGAATGTGGGAAGTTTAGAACAACAAAAAGTCTTTATTGGTGATGACATGAACTTTAATAAATTTAATGTCATACACAATTCATTTTCTCAATAAATTTCCTTTTGTAAAGGTAGACACAATGGTTTCTATCCAGACTGCAAGAGCAAACTAAAACAAAGAGACGGCATGATGATGCTGGATGACACCGAGCTTCCCAGGGCCTTAGACTTGCATTCAAATTCTTATTTGGTCCCCAGCTAATTACAAATCCTTGACCATCTCTTACTCTCCCTGCACCTCACTTGCTATTTTGTAATAGCATAATACAGAATGCTGTAAGAGCCAAATAAAAAATAATTCGTGAAACTGGTAATAACAAGACAATGTTATTTATTCTGGATGTTTTGATAATTAAGGACTCACGATTTGTGGCAAGGCACAGAATCATTGTGACTAAGTACACTTTCTGGACCCAGAGTGCCTGCCTTTGAATCTTTATCACCAGCTAGCAAGTTACTTAAAGCCTCTCACTGTTAGGTTCTGCACTGGACAGTGCAGATGCAGAATATTTCCACCATCTCAGAGAGTCCAGTAGAAAATCACTACATTCATCTTAAATATTATTGGGAGAGAGGGAAGAAAGATTGACAAACCAATCAGCCATCGTAAGCTTTTCAATCTTTGTTCACTTCTTTCTTAATAAGTTTTTCTCATTATTTTATTGCTAAAAATACTTTTTTGTTTTGTTGTTTTACCTAAGATAAATGTTGATTCCCTTAGTCTCTTTTCTCTCTAATCCTCCACCTTACAACTGTTTTGATCTGCACTGATGATATCCTGTGTAATACTTGAAACATGATTTCAGACTATATTAAACTAAGCCACTTTCCAAGAATAGATTTTGGTTCCAAGTACATTTTCTCACAGGCGTCTTCATTTTATATGCTGATTTCAAGCACTATATCTCTTCTTTTTGTATTACAATAATAATGTGCTAATTTTACATTAAAGATTTTTTATTTCATCAAAGTATTATTATAAAGAATTTCTTCTTAATGTACCACTGAGCCAACTGAGGATCAAAAATAAGAGATAAAATTTATCAGGCTCCTGGGTGTCAGGTGCAATTCTAAGTGTCATATATGCGATGATTCATTAAATCCTAAAAAGATAATCCTTTCAAGTATTTTTATTATCCACATTTTATTACCCACATTTCCAAGATGATGAATCTGAGACTGAAAGAGTTTAAGTAACTTTCCTATGATGGCACAGCTGGCTGGTGATAAAGTGAAGATCTAATGCAGGTGATGTTCCAGAGAGGGCACTCTCAGTCACAATTTTTCTCTGCCTTTTGTGAGCAGTGAGTCCTTACTTATCAAAAGATCGGGAATGATTATCATTGCCTTGTTGTCACCAAACAGTTATTAAACACAGACCCAAACCACAATGCTCGCATACAATAACAAAATTAAGATTATCAAATTCTGTTTATCCATCTTTACTATGACTGAGTATAATTTTTCATTTCTAACCTGTTGTGTAAATGAAGCAATAGGTAGTACTACAAGGTAGTACCACCTGAACTGCACGTGAAGCAAGTTCTAATGGTTTAGAATTGAGAACTTACTGTCAAAGATGTTTAATTGAGTTCATGTGTACTGAGGGGTGACAGCAATATTGGGAATACAATGTTTATTAAGTGGTAAGCATAAAACACTAACTTGGAGTTTCAGGATCATTATTAATATTCAGCAGTACCTGTTCAGAAATTGTTTAGTACCTAGACCAACAAAAGATAATTTTAAGACATATTTTACCACTGACATTATTTAAAATTGCCTGCACCTAGTGATAATAAAATACTAATTTTTAGCAGATTTAATGATTGTCTATAAGGGGGGAGAGAGAGAGAGAAAATTACACAATTAACCAATAGACCTTCTTTTCACATTAAAAACATAATAGATCCTTAATAAATTCTAAAAATCAATATCCTACACACCATGTTCTCCAACTATAATCCAATAAAATTTAGGATTAATAACAAAATTAATAAACCCTAGATGTTTGAAAACTACCTAAATGATTACTAAATAACCGTTAGGATAAAAAGAAATTATCAAGGAAATGAAGAAATACTGAAAAATGAAATGTCAAAATATGTGGGAAAGATCCAAAGTAGAACTTGGAGGGGAGTTGTAACTGAAAATATATTAATCAGGGAATTTTCCGTCTTTAACATCTTCCAGCCTCCACATACTGCCCGGCTGCAAAGCAGTGCCTACATTTTTAGGGATTTATAGCAGCATCGCCTCACTTCCAGGTGCCAAAACTTTGTTTTGTGTTTCAATTCCTTGAAAGATACAATCTGCCAGAACTCAAACAAGAAGAAATAGACATTCTGAATACTGCATTATAATTTTTTAAAAACTTTAATAAAAAGTGAAGAACAAAAGTACACGAGTCAACTTTAAATGGCTCTCACTAGCTGTAATAGACTGAATGATGTCTCCCAAAGATATTAGTTCCTAATCCTCAAAATCCGTAAATGTTTGTTTATATGGCAAAGATCTGCGAATGTGATGAAGTAAAGGTTTTTGAATAAGGAAGAGTAAGGGATAATCAGTGTGGGCCCTAAATGCATTTACATGTATCCTTATCAGTGACACACAGATGACAAGAAAGCAACGTGGCCATAGAGGCAATATTGTAATGACATGGCTACATGATAAGGTATGTACTGGAGCGAATGAATGAATGAATGAATGAAC